ATATATACTTATATATATTAAAGTATTAAATATAAGTGTAATACTCATCTTATAGTAGTATACTTATATATTATATACTATAAACAATATATTATATATTAGTTACAGTTTAATTAATATTAGTTAGATTTATCATATTACTTACGCACTTGCACTCCCACTAATTAGTATACATATTGACCATATTCATACATATTCCCTATTAGTTAGATTTTTTATTAATATTAGTTTATTAGTTAATTGTTACATTTCACATTAAAGTATAAAAGTAGTTAATTGTTACATTTCGTATTACTTAAAGTCACATTTGTCAGTTTTAAGTATTTATTAAAGTTGTTCGAATTTTTATTTTTAAAAATAAAAGTAGTTTGAATTTTTTATTTTTAAAAATAAAAGTAGTTTGAATTTTTTTAAAAAAATAAAAGTAGTTCGAATTTTTGACAATCTTATGAAAAAAGTAAATCAACTACCGTTGTTGAACAAAGCTTGATTAATGAGCTTTCTATATATCTAACATTTCCTGTTGACTTATGTAGAAGGGGATGACTTAGTTTTGACGTTCTAAAGTGGTGGAAGGATAAAGAAAGAACATTCCCAGTTTTATCAAAGATGGCGACTAAGCAAGTGCTAGCAATACCGGTACCAACAGTTGTCGTGGAACAAGAATTTAGAGTGCCCGGCAATGTGATAACATATTATAGAACGAGATTGAGTGCAAACTTTCTTGAGACGCTTGTTTGCTTCCACGATTGGTTGAAGGCCCAACGTAGAACTCAAGACCTTAGCATCGCCCCCACCCGCCACTTTATGGAGGAAACAACAATCGACGGCGTGGGCGCGTGGCTGAGATTTCGATTGATTATTATTTATTAGAAAATGTATTTTATGTTTTTAATTTTTCTCAATTCTCAAATGTAGTTCATATTAAAAAAAATATATACTTTAAGTTTTTTATATGTAGCTATTCTTAAATTAATTTATAAACAAGAATTAAAAAAATACCCGAACCCGACCCGACCCGACCTGATACCAGAGCGGGTAGACCGGGCCGGTCTAGTCCTGATAGTATCCCGGGCTGGTTCTAGGCTTCACCCCAAAAAATTTAGACCCAGCCGGGCCAACCCGGAACCGGACCCGGACAATAGCTAGCTCTGTCATGGGTAGGCATGGACCGGTACGGCGGTACCGGCCCGGGCCGGTCCAAACCAGGACAAAATCTGTTAGGGTTAGGCCTGGTACCTGCCCGGGATTCTACCGGGACCGGGTCGGGCTGATTCTTGGATTTTTTTGTTTTTCTTATTTATTCCAACCCTCCACCCCCAAACCCCGCCATAACACCCAGCCCGCCTACCATAGGCCCAAACCAGGGGGGGCACCGGTCCCCATTTTCCTGCACCCGGAGCCCGCCCTGAAAACCCCCTCATCGAGCCGGTTGACCCGGTCCAGATCTCGGTTCGCGGGTCGAGTCGGTACTATACAGTACCGGGCTGGGCCGGTCAACCCGGGTATGGTCCATCCTTAGTCGTGGGTAGGGGTTGGAATAAAGCTTGTATTCAGGATGCCTATTTCATTCTTATAAATTTAGTAGAGTGATCAAATTACAACACGAACATTTCTTTTTCCATACCCTTGATCACATGGGAGGGTGACATTGTGTCATTACTCTAGAACCAGGATCAATGTGCCTTCAAAATATATGAAGGCTAGGAAGCACGGAAATTCTCCATGGCTCACGTTTCCACGTTTCGGAAACTCATAAGCGTTTCGGAAACTCGGAAACTTCAAATTCCCATTTCGGGGCCGTTTCCGTAATTAAGAAAAATTTGGGAACCCGTTTCACTACGTTTCGGAAACCTCGGATTCCAATTTTTTTTCTTTTTCAAAAGATTATGTGGTGGAAAATAATTTTTTATAGTGAATTTTGTGGTATTTCTCAGCGGCAACACTTGTTACATTTCGTAACGCAATGTATTGCTAGAAATGTATTACTCCGTACATTTTATGTTTATTTATGTACTAATATGAAATAATATCTAAATTCGAACATGTAGAGTGATTTTATTATTTGGTTACTAAACAAATTATATTAAAAAACATGTGCATATGAAAAAACTTGTGTACATATATTAAAAAATATTTATAAATATATCCTTATATTTTATAATATTTACGCGTTTCCCCCACGTTTCGTGTCCTATATTTTTTAGAAATTATGTTTCTCGTGTTTCCCATTTCCCGTTTCATGTTTCCCGTTTCCCGTTTCCGTGCTACTTAGTATGAAGGCAATCAAGATCCTGATATGGGTTGATTTGGCAGAGTCTACCAGAGGCGGTCAAAGAAGGGACCAGATTGAGAGATCCTCATTATTTTAATTAATTAAATCAGTTTCCTATTATGAGTCTATTTTAATTAATAAAATCAGTTCCCTACTTTGAGTTTATTTATTAAGGTTTCCTTATACTTGTTTAGAAACCTCTTTATTGCTTCTTTCCTATTATTGTTTTAGGAAACTTGTCTTTTTCCTATTTAAGGCTTATCAGTTGGATTAATGAGATTAGCTTTGGAATATTTAATCTTTTGATCTTTTGGTGGAACCAGTGATCACCTTCCTTGCCCATGGCAGGAAGTTTGTGTTTCTTATTCCAGACACCATAGCTTCACATTCCTCTCTCAATCCTCTCCGGCCTTGGACGAGATCTTGTACCAAGGCCCTTAACAATCCCCCAATAACTCAGGACAAGCAAGAGCCCCAAAAACAAATGGGTGATTAAGCAAATATCACAAAAGGGTAAAGATAAAGTGATTGACACTACTGTTAATCCCATTAGGACCCATCTTCCAGCCACTCAAATGATCTTCCGGCAGATCCAAATGCTAAGGTCAGTCCTCCCCTTGAGGTTATCACCGTGGAGGCTGCTGCTGCTGAATAAAGTTAGGAATTTTTAAACATATACATATTTCCTAATTTGGATTAGGAATCTATTTCAAAAGTTAAGTCATATTTAAATTGTACTAATATATACTTTTGTGGTTAGGCTAAACGTATTTACTTGTGAAAATATATATACATATACATATATTTAGGTATGATATCAATTTTAATCCTTATTTAATATGGTAAGTTACTTGATTAGAAGTAGTCTTTTTAAAATTTGGTTATTAGTTATTCTAGTTCCAATTACTGAATTTAATACTTATCAAATACGTAATAGGTGTTGAAAAAGTTACCAAATTAATTAAGGTGGATTTCTATGATCTTTTGTTTCCATATCAATATCAATACCCAATTAAAAACAGAATCTAATAAAAACAAAAGGTATAAAAATAACTAAATAATTGTTATATATAATGACATGGAAGGATTATGTGGCGCTTTGTATGCTCTTAAAAAGTTTCTCTTATATATATATGTATGTATGTATGTATGTATGTATATATTTATGTTGCATATAATTAGTATGAAGTATAGTATGTAGTATATAATTCTAGAATAAAAAAATACGAAGTATATATACATATATGCATGTGTGTGTGTGTAATTTTACATATAAATCTAAAACATATTAAAAATATGAAAAGTTTTAATGAATTTCTTTAATGAAAAGTTTTAATGAAAAGTATATGAATTTACTGTAAATATAAATATAAATATATCCTAATTTTTTGCGGAAATTCACATAAAAAAATTCATCAAAAATATTTTGATATTTTAAATCCATTTAAAAAAAATCAACCATGCATTTTTTTTACAAATTAATATTAAATTTTGTATTTTGCGAATTATTTTCCTTATATTTTTATATATTTAATTTACCCTAGAATATAAATAATTTATTGTCATATTATAAATAGACTTATATATTTTATATTATGAACTTGTATATATTTATATTGTTATATTCTAGTTTCTATTTATTATTTTTTAATGGCAATTTGGACACTTTTTAATAATTGAGGAGTAAATTGAATAACTTTGTCGGGTTCAGGGTCTATTTGACCCTTAGATTTCCATGTGGTATGCACGGTTGACATCTAACCGGCTGACGTGGCAATGACCGGAAACTCACCTGCAAAAAGTGAGATTTGAACTTTTTTGTCGAAGTCAGAGGGTGATCAATTGGAGCTTTTTTGAGTTCAGAGTGCGAATTGAGCATTCCGAACAGGTACATGGGCCGATCCTTTAGCCTATTTATGACTAAAATGAAGACTCTTAGCTTTACAAAGATGTGATTTGTGACTATAGTAGTTATGAAATCATAGTAAATTATGTTCCATTTTTAAACCTATGTTACTATGACACAACATTATTGTAATAACTAATAGTCATATTCATGTAAATAAGTTTTATTTTATTAATATTTTTGTAAAAAGCCCATAAAAAATAAAGATATACGTAGTACTATATATGTAATACCTTTTTGAGTCATCGGAAAGAAACAAAATATACACACTTAGCTTCATAATATGTAAAGAAGTTTTTTATATAATATTTCAGAAATAATATTTATTTTATTTCGTCTACACTTAATATGTTTCTCCCTCTAGTCTTTTAAAATTCGTCTCACGTCACTTATCATTTTGAGGTATACAAAAAAAATCTTCAAGTTTCTCTATTTGAAATTTTTTATGTTGCTAGTATTCATTTATCATTTTAGATCTTAGGGATACTTAATCATTATCATACATTTTCAATTTATTCTTATTTTCTGGAACTGCGATCCAATTTAAACTCGGAAGAATTATATGGGGCGGATGTAGGATGTTTTTACTTGGACTTTAATCTGGCCTAATTAAACTAGACCAGATCAATCCAGACCACGCTTGGATAGTTATAAAAATACAAAGAATCCAGACTAGACTAGTTCAGACCAGATCAAATCAGATCAAATCAGCAAATTACAATCCAAGTAAAAATACGATTTTGTATCAAGTACTATTTTATTATTTTTTTTTTTTTTGAAAAAAGATTAATTATCATTAATATTATCAATGTTCAGTACATGAGTAATGAAAGAAGGGGGATAATCATTCCAAGAAGTGCAATCAGACAAAGAGCAAGTGACTTGAGCCAGCTCGTGAGCCGCCTTGTTTGCTGATCGCCGAACATGAGAAAAAGTAATTTCCGTAAAACTCGACTTCAACTCCCTAATATCCTCCGCAATGACTCCCACCAAAGACTCGCTTGACCCGTAAAGAACTTCTGAGATTGCCTTAGAAGCATCTGATTCAACATCAATGAAATCCCAGCCTCTTTCCTTCACCCAACTAAGAGCTTCTCTAATCCCGACCAGCTCCGCTTCCAACGGTGCTAACTGGCCACCTCAGAACTTCGAAACTCCGGCCACAAATTCTCCGAGCTCGTCCCGAACCAGCTAGCCCAAACCACTACGACTCCCCTTGATTGCCGCATCAATATTCAGCTTTAACCTCCCTGGCGCAGGTCTTTTCCAAACCGAAGGAGGGGCTGGAGCATGTCTGCTCTTCCCACCATCCACCTGCTACACCAAAGCCCAGTTTGTAACATAACCTGTGACTTTACCAAAATCAGTTTAGCATCAGTTTACCAAAATCAGTTTAGCATCAGTACTATTTTATTATTATTATTTTATAAATAAATAAAACTATTCCATCAAAAATATTAGAGACGTTGTAATTAAATGATTTTACTTTTAATTTAAGTCGTTGTAAACAACTTGGAGGAGGACCGATGAAGAATAATACTTGAACCCAAAGCAAAGAGTCCATCCGAAGAAAATCAGTTGGGAGATTCCAAATCCTAGTGTAATAAATTATATAACCAACTAGTTTCCCAATCCTAGTGTAATGACTAGTTTCTAATAATTAATTGTGCTTTGGATTTTGGAAACTAAAATATTTGGAGAATAAGTCGGACTAGAAAAAAACCCTATGCAAGGATTCTCATTTCCAAAACCTATATATATTTCATTGCCATTTCTCCATCTCCTCACATCAATTCTCCGCAGTCACAAATAGAAGAGTAGAGAAGTGATTAGTTGAAGTTGATATTGTCGCCGCTTAATTCAATCATTGATCGTCGATCATGGTGGGGAAGATGATATTGTCGCCGCTTCCAGGCGGAGGGTACGCTCAGCTGCGGGAGGGGTATTCCAGTTTGGACGTCCTCGCCGCCGTCTGTGGGGCTGTTTTGGAGCAGATGGAGAAAAACCCAAACAGTAATTCTTCTTCTTCCTCCTTTCCTAAATCAGTATTTATCCCGAGGAGGAAGAGGAGCCGTCCTAATAGAAGTACTACAAGTCATGAGGTTTTTATGGCGGCAGATTCCGTCTTGAAATGTGGCGTCAAAAGAGTGTCAATTGGAGGAGGACCGGCCGGCAACCGGAAGAAAAGGGCGGCCAAGAATGTTGGAGTTAATCTTGTTGTTATAATTTCATTATGTTTAATTTAGTTTATTTTGAGTCATTGATGCATTTTAGACTAGAGTGTTCGTGCACGGCGGGATGAGTCATGCCAAGTTGTGTGTGTCGCGTGGCACCGTGCATATGTTGTAGCGGCACTGAAGTGCGTGTGTGTCGTTGCATTAGTGTTAGTCTAATTTGGGTCAGTTAGTTGCATTTAGTATTATTATGTTATTAATTAGTTTACGCATGCATGTAACTCTTTGTACGTACGTTTAGTCTTACGTATTGTACTTAGTGGAGTTAGTGGGAGTTAGTGGAGTTAGTGCGTGCTTGTGTATGCGGCATACTAGGACGTGTGAAGTATGCAAAGTGCATACGTACGTGTGTGTTCAAAAAGGCTATTTAAGCTTGTTTTACTTTAATGAAAATTAATGCTTTTGAGCACCAAACGAAGCTACGTTTTTTCTTTGTTCTTCCTAAGCAAATTACTACATTTGAAAGCTGCAGATGTATTATTCTTGCTAAGCATTCCCAACATTTGGTATCAGAGCCATGGTAGGCGAAAGTTCACGCACTCCGTCACGCTCGCCGGTACGACGTGGGCGGAGTCCGCTGCGGCGAGGCGGCCGCGAGGTGGTGGTACAGCAGCGTGTCGTCCACCAGGCCAGCAGCACCGTTGTCTACCCGACGTTGACGGTGACGAACTATTTCGAGTGGGCGCTCATCATGAAGGTGAACATGGAGGCCCAAGGCGTGTGGGACGCTGTCGAGGGTGGCGGGAGCTTTAGCGAGGATAGGGTGGCGCTAGCGGCAATTTTGCGAGCCGTGCCACCAGAGATGCTCTCCACGCTTGCCGTGAAGGCGACGGCAAAGGAGGCATGGGACGCCATCAAGACTATGCGTGTGGGCGATGAGCGTGTCCGTGAGGCCAAGGCACAAACTCTACTCAAGGAATTTGATTCCGTTCGCATGCGGAGCGGTGAGACGATCGACGACCTCGCCATGCGCATGAACGGACTCGCCAACAAGATTCGCACCCTCGGTGAGACCTTCGAGGAGGTGAAGGTCGTGAAGAAACTTCTTCGGATCGTGCCATCCAAGTACACCCAGGTAGCTATTGCAATTGAACAGCTTCTTGATCTTAAAACCATGTCCATGGAGGAGCTTGTGGGAAGACTCAAAACGGTGGAGGATAGGAGCGATGCGGACGACGGCGTCGACAACAATGACCATGGCGGTGGAGGTCAATTGCTACTCACAGAGGAGGAGTGGCGTTCTCGTTACCGCGGCGGCACCGGCAAGAAGAAGAGTACATTCGACATCCGTAAGGTACGATGCTACAACTGTCAGGAGTATGGGCATTTCTCCAAGGATTGCACAGCACCAAGGAAGGAGCAGGCACATCTCGCCTTCGCGACCGCCGACTACGAGCCGGCACTGCTGTGATGGTCCACGAGGAGTTCTAAATAAATGACAACAAGATTAAGGGGGTGATTGTTGGAGTTAATCTTGTTGTTATAATTTCATTATGTTTAATTTAGTTTATTTTGAGTCATTGATGCATTTTAGACTAGAGTGTTCGTGCACGGCGGGATGAGTCATGCCAAGTTGTGTGTGTCGCGTGGCACCGTGCATATGTTGTAGCGGCACTGAAGTGCGTGTGTGTCGTTGCATTAGTGTTAGTCTAATTTGGGTCAGTTAGTTGCATTTAGTATTATTATGTTATTAATTAGTTTACGCATGCATGTAACTCTTTGTACGTACGTTTAGTCTTACGTATTGTACTTAGTGGAGTTAGTGGGAGTTAGTGGAGTTAGTGCGTGCTTGTGTATGCGGCATACTAGGACGTGTGAAGTATGCAAAGTGCATACGTACGTGTGTGTTCAAAAAGGCTATTTAAGCTTGTTTTACTTTAATGAAAATTAATGCTTTTGAGCACCAAACGAAGCTACGTTTTTTCTTTGTTCTTCCTAAGCAAATTACTACATTTGAAAGCTGCAGATGTATTATTCTTGCTAAGCATTCCCAACAAAGAAAATGAAGAATCGGGTCATCGGCGACGAAAACCAGCAACCGGCTGCAGCTGAGGCAGGGCCCATGCCGGAGAGATTCAGGGGCGGGATCCGTCACCTGGCGGGGCCAGGCGCGGAGATAGCGGAGGAGATGCTGCTGATCGAAAAGGAGATAACGGCGACCGATTTGAACCGCAACGAAGGCCGGCTGGCCCTCCCTTTGAAACAATTGAGACGGACGGATTTCTTGACGGCGGAAGAGGAGGAGCGGCTGGCCACGCGCCAGAACAATGGCAAGAATGTGGGCTCACTCGACGTGGCGCTGATCGCGGCCGTCAATGGTGAAATCATAATAAAGCGGGAACTTCACCTTCGGAGATGGGGGGTCGGGAAAAGCAGCATGTCATTAATGGTGACCCACAAGTGGAACGAAATTAAGGGCAACCTTGGACTCGCCTTAGGTACAAAGGTCCAAATATGGTTCGTCCGAGTTGACGGCGAACTATGGTTATCGCTTGTTGTCTTGTAGATCCATCCATGCCTACATATCCGGGTTTGGCCCGACCCGGCCCGGCCAGTGCCCTAATCACTTAATTAGTTAGTAATTACAACTTAACACGGTCTCTATCTGCGGCATTGGCTTATTGCGGGCCTTTGGGCATGACAGAAATGCTACTACGTATATAACATTTATTATGTATTTTATTACGAGGTTCAATAAAATTATTGTTGATTGATTTTTTTCATATAATGATATCTTTTGATCGATATGATAACTCTTTCCGTTCATGCTTCTATATATGTGTATATATACATGTATTCTTTAGTTGTTATTGTACTGTTCCTTGTATTATCTGTGCTTGAGAAATTCATATTGGTGCGTAGTTAACTAATTACAGTACAAAATTGTTACTTTTTAATACTACTGTAGTACTCCGTATATGTTTTGATCATTCTTTTCTGCCGATGCTCTTCTCGTTTTGTATTATTGTACGTTCCTTATACAGGGTATATGTTATGTACTTGTGTTTGTGAAACTGAAATTGGTATTCCACTAGTTCATATATAATCATATATATAAGTTCATATATAATCATATACTTCCTCCCTTTCCTTTTAATTGCAACAGTCAACATTTCACGTTTGTCAACGCACAGGTTTGACTATCAATATCTTTCATTCCTTGTTAGTAAAAAGTTTTAAAATTTCATATTTTGAAAATATTGAATGAGAAGAATTTAACAATATTTTTTAAAAATTTAATTTACAATACATTAATAAATAAAATATAGTCAAAGTAGAATATGTGAATAATGCAAAAAGTCTAATGTTGCAATTAAAAGAGAACGGAGGTAGTATACACACACACAAATTTACAATTGCATGTTGTTTCATTTCGATATACTCCTCATTACTTTGGGGGAAAATGGAAACTAATAATCCAATTAACCTTTTAGCGGTCTTTTTCAATAATCCAATCTTTTGATTATTCATGAATAATCCAACCTTTGCACCTCATCTTCATTCACTGGTCCCTGACCGGTTGATGACCTGCTATTCCAAGCTATTTTCTTATCTTTGCAAATCATTATACCATAAATCTCATCTTTCACAAAGATAATATTTTGGAAAGATAAGAAAATAACTTGGAATAGTAGGTCATTAAACGACCAGGAACCAATGAATGAAGATGAGGTGCAAATGTTGGATTATTCATGAATAATCAAAAGGTGAGATTATTGAAAGAAGACCGCTAAAAGGTTGGATTATTAGTCTCCATTTTCCCTTACTTTGGTTGCCATCCTCTCTATTTAATTTGCTTTACTTGAAACACGATCTATATACACATGTGCCACTACCAATTCACTTGAAACACGATCTTAAAATAAAGTGCATATATATTGCACTATACGTAGACACGTAGTATTTTATACTACTAGTAAAGTGTTCTCTCGGCACATATAATTAAGGTTAAGCCAATTAAAGCATGGCATAAAAATGTTCGATATATAATTACGTGGTACGAATTATTATTTTTGAAATGAAACTAATAAGCTATATATGTTTAATTTTGAAAAAGTAATTAAATTTGTATATTAACTTTGAAATCTAGTGATAAAAACAAAACACCACAAAGCATACTCCCTCCGTCCCATAATGGTTGTCCACTTTCAATTTGACACGATTATTAATAAAGTGGTTGAAAAGTAAAAGTTGTGGTTGAGATTTGAGTAGAATAAAGTGGATTCATAAGAAACACATATTTCATGCCAAAAAAGGAAACAAGACATTCATTTTGAGAACAACCCAAAAAGGAAAGTAGGACAACCAAAATGGGACGGAGAATATATTTGGTGAATTATTTATTAGCTAGTGAAGAAATGCACAAACATTAGTGTTAAAAACAAATTAAAGCAGGCACCAATGAAGTAAAGGAGACGACTAACTTTTTAGTACTACGTATTAATTAATGTTTTGACCAACCTTTTACATTGTATTCGCAAAAAAAAAAAAAAAACTCTATGATTAACTTTTTTTTTTTTTTGTATTCCCAATTTGCTAGTTGGAATTAAGAACTCTAGCTACTAGCTAGCAGCATATGAAGATTTAGTAGAGGCTCTGTGTGAGATTGTGATATGAAAAAGTTATACGGATGCTAGCCTAGAGATTTTCACTTACTACGGCGTTGTATTATTGTCAGTTTTATTTTCCAAACATTTCCTGAAAGTAGACGACAAGCCCTTGGATCTTGCCTCCAATCATTTCTGCGCCAATGTGAAACCACTTCTATTAAGAGTGGAGAAAACGGTGATGAAGCCAACCTGCATCCCTTGGAAGAAGAAAATATAATGAAGAAGTCTCTGAGGTCAAAGCTGGTGAAGAAGGGGACGTGAAAGATGACGAATCTTTCAAGAGAAAAGCAGATGACGATGAAATTTTGAAGGAAACTAAGAAAGCTAAAGTTCCGTGAAATCATCTTCTAGCGGAGGAAGACATTGAGGAATAGGAACAGTCTTTGAGTGAAACTATATTTGGAATTGCAGCTTACTATGTTGGATGATATAGGTTTTGGCTGACATAAGTCTATAGCTTTTGGCTTTTGTACTATTTAAAAAGTCTCTAAAAGTTGTTAGTTGTTTATATGGCAAGCCAATTTTTAAGAGCTTTTCAAAAAATAAAAGCTCTTTTTTGATATGCTACAGGTAGAAGCATCTGAGGAAAGTCTGTGACTTTTGGCGATGGAAAATTCCTCCTAAATTGAAGTTCTTCTTTTGGCAGGTATGTTGTGGCTTGCTTCCTACAAAAGTTAATTTGCAACTTAGAAAGGTAGATTGTGCAGTCAACTGTGGGCTTTGTGGAAATAATGAGGAAACGCTGCAGCACCTCTTCGTGGACTGCCCGGTGGCGAAGGAGGCCTGGGACTCAATCCGGTGGAGCTGGTTGGATTCTTCCTCGAATTCTTTCCTGGAGCAGGTTCAGGCAGAATTTCAAGTTAGAAAAGAGGAGGATTTATACAGGCTGGTTTGGGGGTGTTGGGGTATTTGGTGCGAACGTAATAACAGATTCTGGAATGGGGTGATCTCTGATCCGAAGCAGATCTTAGTTAAAGCCAGGATGTTCATAGAAGGCTGGAGGTTGGTGCAGAAAACAGTGGGTGAGGCAAACTATTCTGGAAGAGCAACAATTTCAAGTTGGAGAAGACCTTCTCCTGGCAGATACAAACTGAACGTGGATGCGGCCGTGAGAGATAAATTATGCGGCCTAGGGTGGATTTTAAGAGATGGCTATGGGAACTTTGTTGCAGGTGTGTCAAAGGTTTGGCATGGAAGTTTATCTCCTTTGGAAGCCGAGCTGATTGGTATTCGGGAAGCTCTGAGTTGGATGAAAGAAGGAGGGTGGGATGGCGTAGAAGTGGAGTCTGACTCTTCGGGGGCGGTAACGGAGATTCTCCAGGAGTCGAGTATATCCTTAGCAGGAATTATTGGTGGCGACATTAGAGAGATTAATCTGGGTTTTACCGACATCTCTTTTACTCATATTAGACGATCAGCGAATAGGGCAGCTCATGAATTAGCTAGAGCCGCTTGTTCCGTGTCTGGTTGTATTTGTTGGGATAATCACCCTCCTCATTTTATTGTTCATGTACTTAACACTGATTTGATGAATGATAGCTAACTTCTTTATTTTCAAAAAAAAAAATCCTAACAGCTTGTATGCCAAACATAACTAAATCAAACAGTCAGCTTTTACCAAACAGCTACCACCTTTTACTTTTAAGATCTTTTCAGTCATTAAAAGTTAACAGTTACTAAAAAGCTCACAAAAAGATCTTTTCAACTAATTGTATCAAACATAGCCATAATCTAGCTAGCTATATGTTGGAAGGCTAGCTTGATTGGAGTATTGGACCATGTATGGAATACTTTTGAATTTTGATGTCTTCAAATTGCAGCCCACATCAATCCTAATGTGAAAAAGCTTATTTGTCCAAACAATGCTCTTCATGTCTCCCTTGATGCATCATTATTTGTCATAATTCCCTTGTCCATTGAAATGAAATTGTTTTTTCTAATTTTAATTACCGCCATTTTTTTACATTTAAATTCCATCATCATTTCTTGGACTTGCCATTTTAAAATGATCATACACGATTCCAACTTAAAAGAGTTCATTTATAATACTTCCATCCCTTCGTCCCTTATAACTTTCTCATCTTTCCTTTTTTTGGATGTCCCAAAAACTTTGTCATTTTCCCTTTTAATCAATAAATTTGTGGTTCCTGTTATTTCGCTCCCATCTACACATATCTCAACCACGCAGTTTTTACTTTATTATTTCCCGGGCCGGTCAAACATGACAAAGTATTGAGGGACGGAGGGATTAGGAAAAAATATCCTGCATAAGAACCCCTCAAAATCGTGAATTGTAAATTGTAAATACCAGACCAACATGTATATAATATACATATACTCCCTCCGTCCAAAAAATAGTTTCCACATTGACTTGGATCAGAGTTTAAGAAAGTGGAAATAAAGTGGAAATGTATGGTTGTGATTGTGTAAGAAAAAAGTAAATGAATGTGAGCTACACAAAACTTTCCAAAAGAACCTTCTTGGCTCTCCAGCATGCACTGTTAGGGCTGTTGATATTGGGGTTGTCCATACTGGGTGTAACACCCCCATTTTTCCCACCAAAATAAAATAACATTTTGAAATAAAAACATCTTTATTATAAAATATATTTAGAGTACAGCGGAAGTCTTTAATGGAAAAACAGGTGTGTCACCACCACACTCAACCTATACATGATTGAGTGCACAGGCTATCCACCATAAATTCAAGTAGCCATTGGGTAAAACTTATAACAAGTTTATGGATTACAAATTTAAACAATAACAATTAATCAAACGTGTGCAACTAGCGGAACACTCGGGCAGCAAGTACATCAATCTTCATAATCATAATCATCTGTACAATAGAGCAAAGAGAAAAAGAGAAAAGAGACAAAAAATTAGCTTTAGAGCTAAGTAAGATTCCACCCGAACCCGTAAAATAATATAATTTGGAAAATAGGTTTTTGTATATGTATATATATTGAAAAGTAGTCTCTCATATTTCCAAAATGATTTAATGTCATAAAATAATTTCCACAATAGATAATATCATCCTTCAATTCCTCCAAAAGTAATACTTTAGATTCTTTTAGGAGTGGGCGAAACTCAAGATTCCTCGAGCCCAATGAGTCGTTGTTATCTACGACTCATCCCAGAATTCCGGCTCCCACCGCCCACCAATTGGAAGCTGAATTTCTACCTTAAGTGTGCACACCCTCTAAAAGGGATTCCAAGCCCTCCGAGTAGTAAGAAACCCAAGTAGGCGGGATGTTTTCTACCACCTATTCACAAGGGACATTGTCCAAGGGTAAATTAGGTAACTACTACTACGACCACCAAAGGATCTTTGATCCTCAAATAAAAGCCCGGGATGTCTACCGGAGTATGTCATTGCCGGACTGGTTACCGACCCAAATAAATTTCACCAAAAGTAGTAGTAGCCCTAACCACCCACGCCTCGTGTTTCTCTCGAGACGTAAGAATATATATTATGAAAACTTTAAGTTTTCCCCAAATCATTCTTGTCACATTTTCTCAAAATATCCTTTGTAATAAATATAAATCCACCCATATTCTTTAATAAAAAAGAATATACATTTAAGCATCCATAAAAGGTAATAATCCACCAATATTCATATAGTCAAAATATCCGATCCATGTCAAACATATAATTTCCCATTCATAAATAATTCACATAGTTCAAATATTGCATACATATAAGTACGAGGCAAAACATTTTGGTTGACATAGAACTTACCTTAAATTGCGATAATCTTCTTAATAAAATCTCTAGCTTGGTCTTCACTTGAATCCTCCTTCTAATATATATCAAAATTCTAAATCAATAACTACTCTATTATTTTTGTTATCTCCTATCTATCCAACCTTTAATTATTTTAATTTCATAATTCCTTCTTTAAATATAACTATTAAGTTAGATTCATAAACCTTATTTAAAATTTTAATTTTTAGTCCAACCTTATTTTCTTTAATCATACTAATCCCTCCATAATTTACTTTAATTTATTTGATTAATTAGTTAACTAGTCTAATTATATTAACTACATAATAATTTCATTATTTCGAATTTAAATAATCAATTTCAGTTCAAAATTCAGTTTACATAATTTATATAATTTATTTAATAAACCTTTTAATAATAATTTGACGTAATCAATAATTTGAAATAATAATCATTAATGATAATCTAATCTCAATAACAACTTTAATTAGTTCAATAGTTTATTTATACTAACTAACCCAATTAAATTAATTAATCCAATCCTCCAGTTTTATTTATTTGATTCACTAATTTAATTGAACTAACTAAATCAAATAAATAAGTTTAATTATATCAATATAGCTAAATACATTAATCTAATTCAATTAAGGCCAATACTCAAATTCTAATCTCGTTTTAATTTTTTTATTTTTAATATAAAGTCCAAAAATATTACCACGTCCATAATTTAACTAATTTATCCATTAAACTAATTGATTTAGTTAAACTAGTCCAATGAAGTCAATTAACTAAATTATTAAGTACACATTATTTAATTAATTGGTTTATATTAATCAACTAAATTTTTATGAGTTCAAATAGTTTAATAATTTATATGGATTCCAAATCACTAATAATCAAGGATAATAATTATTAATTTAATCACACTAATTTAATTAGTCCACTAATTCAATCATTTATTTATTAAGTCCAAATATAGTCATTCATTTATACTAGATAACCCAACTTTATTTTATTTTCCTTATTTTTATTACAAAATCATTTTTAGTCCAGAACATTATTTTCACTCTTAGTGATTTATTTATTTCACCATTAATATCAAACTTTTCTTATTTAATTACTTAACTAGTTTTATATGGCCCAATTAAATTAAATAGCTTAAGAATCGACTTTATAAATTTATTACCGTCCATAACTATATTTTGGGTCTATATTTGACCTAGGTTGTCCAGATATTTATTTTAGAATTATTTCCCTTATTTATTCACTTAATTTCATATATCTATTAACCGGTTAAATTACAATTAAATATGCTAATCATAATTTTTATTAATCATAAATGGTCCCAAATGTCCTAGTTAGTCATATATTTCATCTAGCTTGCTCCAATATTTATTTCATAATTTATCTCGTTATTTAGTTAATTATTTACTAAATATGTACAAATTGGCCCAATTACAATTAAATCAATTAAAAATAGCTAAAAATATTACTTTTCAATTATTCTTGGTCCGAATATGTATTTTTATACCAGGTATTTAATTTATAGGTTTCCAGATTTTATTTATTTTATTTACTATTTTATTTTTAATTTTTATTGAAAATGGGCCGAACCGGCCCAAATACGCGACCCGGCCCAAGAAGACTGGGTTGTCTTCTTCCCAGATCTTCTCCAGGTCTCGATTCCGGCGACCGGAATCACGAAAACTCCGGCGAGCGATAACTTTACTTACAGGTAACGGATTTCGACGATTCAAGTTGCAAAATGATCCTCACGTCGAGACGAAGCTCCTCCACCCCTATCTACGGCCAAATGTCCGCTTTTGCTGAAGACCCGTTTCCATGGCTTGCAACTCCGGCGACCTCTAGGATGCTCCGGTGACTACGAATCGGTCTGGAATTTATTGGGAAGTATTCCTAGACCTCTCACGACCCTCCTCTCTTGCTTATAGGCAATTTCTTACGTAAATATATATATGTGTATATTTCCGGCGAGTAAGTATATATATATATTTTCTCTACTCATTTTCTTCAGTTTTGTAGTGATTTAAAATGTCAATGGAGCTGTATTTACAGCTGTAGATCGACCCTTATAGAGCTGGACGAGTTGTGTGAATTATTGTGAATTACTTTGATAAGATGCATACCTATTCATAATTCAATGTATACACATTATATGGTAGGTGTGAAGTCATGAAGTTGTTTCCTGGCATGTGAAGATGTCCTCCATATCTTTGTTATTATTTTCTTATCAAAATATGTATTAATATGTGTGTGTTTATATGTGTGTGTTTTTGTTGTAGTATATATATGCATGTACTTACTATATATATATATATATATATATATATATATATATATATATATATTACTTACTTACTTATATGTAGTTATATATATATATATATATATATATATATATATATATATATTACTTACTTACTTATATGTAGTTATATATATAGTATATTACTTATATATACTTATAGTTTATTCATTTGTATTACGTGTCACGTATGCATTATATTTCTTTTATTTCATTAATGTTTATAAAGTTACTTGTAATTATTTTATTTATTTCCATTTACTCTGACAGATATATTTTATCTGGTTTATTTTTATTTTATTTTTTTTCGATGCCACATAAGTGTTTAATTCTCTTGCATGTAGTGTGCGTATATTTTTATACACCAAGTATAATAAAAAAATATTTTGATATTACTTTCATTTGATTTATCAGATATAACTTATCTGATTTATTTATTTATTTATTTATTTTTCAAATTTTCAAGGTATCATACTGGGCCTGTGTTAAA